TCCACCTGGAAAAAAATTAGATCACTGTAGTACTTCAAATATCAGTCCTTTATTAGCAAAATTTAAAATAATATATAAAAACGTACAGTGAAACAAATTAGAATCTTTATTATTTATGATAATGCTATTAGCACAAACATTATACTTTTTCTTTTACTGTAGGTTGTTACATTATTATTTAAAATTTTGGAGTTAAACAATATTTTGGAAAACAAGATAAATCTTAATGTATCCTTCCTGGTAGAATATTTTATAAATAAATATATTTAAATTTGAAGTACTACAGTGATCTATTTTTTTCTGGTTGGAGCCAAAACATTTTTTTCTGTTGTACTTGGAACATATAGTGAGCTGGCCACTCACGTGGCGACTGGACATGAGGACACTAATACTGAATTGCAGGCAGTGAACTTTAGAAGGAGCCGTGCAGGAGAGGTACCTGTTTACTAATGCAAGCTTTCCTGTCTGTGTTATCTGAATGCCTAAAAAAAGGTCAAAGGTTTAAAAAAAATGAATGAATGAGGGCATTTTAGAGCAAGCTTGTGCACAAACTATTGCTATATGAATGCTCAGACCAGATTGGTTAGTAAAGTCAATTCTGAAGATAAAACTACCCGTATTAGAGATAGATGCTGTCTCCATCTTACAAAAATAAACAAATAGCCTCTTCCTTCCTCCTCCTCTAAAGTCCAAGAAAAGAGATTTCACCTATTAAAAAAAAGGAAATCTGCATACTCTGTCCTCTATGCATGAACTAAAGAAAAAACTATTAGAAATATTTACTAAAGTTTTAATTGTTGACCATCCAAAGCGAATTCATAGTAAACATCACATTTTCGGCCAAAAAAGACTCTTTGAAAAATGTCAGCTGCGCTTTGAGGTTAGACCCCTCTAGGCATTCCAGATGTTGTGGACTACATTACAAGTGATGAGTTACCACTATAATGGCTGTAAGAGTTTTGCAGGAGATGTAGTCCACAGCATCTTGGTGCCGAAGGTTGCCTACCTCTGGGTTAGACACTTTTCAGATGAAATACAGTGAACCCCAATACTGGTGAATCTTGAGAAGATGTATTCCTTTATTATCTACATTTTCGATCGCTATTGTTAGATATTGTATCACTGCTTCACCCATATGTTCCATTTGCATTGTTTTTTTCTCCCTTGTCCTACATCTATTTTTAATCTATTAAATATTAAAGCAAGAGTGTATATTTAAGCCTTCTCCTTCAAGGCCTTTGCACTGACCTCCACCTCTATACATCTTACTGCACACAAGTAATTTTCTTATGTTGCTTCCTGTCAAAGTGCAATCTGACAATTATTCAACAAGGAAAAAATAAGTGACAGAAAAAACAAACACCATAATTTGTGACCTTCCACACTCCATGTTGCATAATATAGGGAAGAGAGAGAATTTGTGCCCAGCTGTGCCCGACTCAGCAATACCCACCGCTGTATGCAACAAGGAAAACATTTGCTGTAGATAAGGCAGGGAGTGACCTTGTATCTGCCTCAATACCTGTAAATAAGTAACCACTGTATAAAAACTCGACTGTCACACTAGCACCAATAAGCAACTGTTACAATGAACATTTACTGCTATAAAACTTTGATTCAATCTTTCACAAGTTTACTATAGTTCAAAAACCATATTAAGGAAAAAGCACACACACTAAATTCCATTTTTAAAAGTTACAAGGCAATTTAAAATCATCTATCTTAGTAAATAAATATGAGGATGTAGTCATACCGTGACTATGACTAGGTGTTTAAAGGATCACTAAAGGATCAGGAACACAAACATGTACTATTCCTGACCCTACAGGGTTAAAACCACTATCTAGCCCACCTGGGCCCCTCATGCCTCCATACATATAGCAACATCTTACTGTTTTCAAGCCTGAAGCTGTAACTCTGCATGCTGTTTGCCTCAGAAAAACAAGCAGTCTGCTGACATCATCAGAAGTGGTTGCCTGATCAAATCACAATGCTTCCCCATAGGATTGGCTGAGACTGACAAAGAGGCAGATCAGGGGCAGAGCCAGCATGATTCAAACACAGCCCTGGCCAATCAGCATCTCCTCATAGAGATGAATTGAATCAATGAATCTCTATGAGGAAAGTTCAGTGTCTGCATGCAGATGAAGGAGACACTGAATGTTTGGATACATTTTAGGCAGCCATGACCCAGGGAGGATCTCTAACTGCCATCTGACGAGTGACCAGTGAAGTTATCACTAGGCTGTAATGTAAACACTGCATTTTCTATGATAAGACAGTGTTTACAGCAAAAAGCCTGAAGGTAATGATTCTACTCACCTGAACAAATTCAATAAGATGTAGTTGTTCTGGTGACTGTAGTTTCCCTTTACGCCCACCATTGATTTCGAGTACTTCAATATAGAAACATAGAATGTGACGCAGATAAAAGCCATTCGGCCCATCTTGTCTACCCAATGTTCTGAATACTTTCATTAGTCTCTTATAGCTAGGATAGCCCTATTCCTATCCCATGCATGCTTAAATTCCCTCACTGTGTTAACCTCTACTCCTTCAGCTTGAAGGCTATTCCATGCACCCACTACCCTCTCAGCAAAAGTAATACTCTCTGAAATTATTTTTAAACTTTTTACCCTCTAATTTAAGACTATGTCCTTTTGATGTGGTAGTTTAACTTCCTTTAACGCCTTTCCGACTGCAGATGTATCAGGTATGTCCAACAAAAAACAGTCCGTAAGGACCGGGGACGTACCTGATACGTCCACGGCTAATTAGAGCACTGGCAGCAATCATGATCGCTTCCAGCTGCTATGATGGTATTGGAGCAATGCCTCGTGCAATACCTCTCCTTACTGCCAGATGGGTTGCTCCATGTGGCGCCCGGCAGTTAAGCAGAGCATCAAAAGCCATCGGGTAGGCTTCCGATGCTCTGACTGTGCTGAGTGCCTCGAGGGGAAATAAAGAAAATTTTAAAAAGCATAAAAATTAAATTAAATTAATAAATGTAAGCTAAAACAGTGCATCATGGGGCTTCTGGGGGTGTCTCTAGCCTGCCTCATCATAGAGGCAGACTAGGGTCATCCAATTAGAGCTTGCCCCTATGATATTTATTCTAACTATGATCCCCATTTGTCTGATCAGGTCAATATTAGTAAATATTGACTCTGATCAGTATGGATCTCCCTCCTTCTCTTTACTTGTGTTTTAGTGAGAGAGGGAGAGAGATCTGTGTTTTAGGTAGAGAGATTTAGGCAGTTTTAGGTAGGGATTTGTAAAATTGTGAGACCTAAAGGCACTTTTAGAGCCATTAACCCCTATCTTGCCAGTGATCACTGTATAGATCACCGGCTCTTGCACAGCAGCACTTATTCTGCTGTATGTGCATTTTTTTAGGGGTTAATTTGTTTTAGTGTTTTTTTTTTGTGAAAGATCACTAAGTAAAATGATTGTGATCATGTCATAGAGGTCGTATAGCGCTGAGGAGGCATATGGTGGAGTCAGACACAGACGAGTCAGGTGGCGTATGCCATCCTGACACGTCTATGTCTGACTCCGACCCTGATTTTCACCCTGCCAGGTGCTCAGATACATCATCACTAGATACAGTGTCTGCTGCTAGTGATGTATCTAGTTATGTTGTATCTGTGCCTGCTAGTCCCCCTGACAGAAGAAGTCGTGCTGCTCCAGATGGCAGTACTGCTGAGGAGTGGGTAGTTCCTCATCGCCAGAGGCCAGATATCCCACCCTTCACTGCAACTCCTGGCATCAATGTGGATGCCACAGGATTTAGCCCTCAGCAGTTTATAGAGGTGTTTCTGGGCGATGATGTATTGGAGAACATTGTCACCCAAACTAATTTATATGCCCATCAGTTCTGAGCCTTTTTTGGCAAAGCAGCAATGGGCCAGTATTTAAAAATTTTTGGACATTGACTATGCTGATGGGCATCATAAAGAAGCCCTTCATCTGCTCCTACTGGAGCAGTAGCCCCATCTGCTCTACCCCTATTTACTCCCAGTGTATGTCAAGAAAGAGGTATGAAATGATTCTACATTTCATACACTTTAGCGACAACAGTCTGTGCCCCCCTAGGGAGCATCCCCAGTTTGACAGGCTGTATAAAATCCGCCCCCTGATTGCCAGGTTTGCAGAGGCTTATACACCTGGAAAGAATATATGCGTGGATGAATCCCTGATGAAGTATAAGGGAAGGCTGGGATACAAGCAGTATATTCCTTCCAAGCGCTCCAGGTATGATTTAAACGAGTATAAGCTCTGTGATAGCGAGACCGGGTATACTCAGGCCTTCCGGGTATACGAGGGAAAGGATACCCACCTTGACCCTCCAGGTTGCCCAGAACATATGGGAACCAGTGGCAAGATTGTCTGTGACCTGATATTTACCCTGATAAACAAAGGGTACCACTTGTATACAGACAATTTTTATGCAAGTGTCCTTTTGTTCAAGCTACTGTACTGTTTGGATACAGTAGCTTGCGGTACAATTAAAAAAAGAACTGCGCAGGTTTCCCAGGACAACTTGCACGCACCCGGCTCCGAAGGGGGGAGACCTCAGCTCTTTGCCAAGAGGAGCTGTTGGCAGTTAAGTACAGAGACAAGAAGGATGTGTACCTTCTTATCACCAACCACACTGAGAGGACTGTGGAGACTGCAGTCTCTGTATGTGGCAGAGCTGATAGCACAAGGAAGCCAGTGTGCATCAAGGCCTATAACCGGCATATGGGTGATACAAAAAGGTTGCAATCTACTAAATGTAGATTGCAACCCACAACACTTTTTGTTGTGCACAAAAGCAAACCCCAGAATGCAACTGACTTTTCTACAGTTTCAGCTCCAGATCATTTCGGAGATTTTGTACCGTGATGCACCTGCTCTCCGGGCGGTGATGGGAGAGAGCAGAGTTGGGGCTACACATTTTATTTTTAAAATCCCCCCTACTGCGGCAAAGCAGAATCCCCCAAAAATATGCAGAGTCTGTTTAAAGAGGGGACAGATAAAAGATACCGTATGAGTAGCGTGCAGCAGCCTTGGCTTGGTTTTGCCTGGCTATGAAGTGCTTTTTGAAAAGTGTTGATGGAAGACATGATCCCATTCCTATTCCCAATGGTGTTGAAGTTATTCTTGGGAGAGGACCACAAACTTGTATAACCGACAGGAAATGTTCTAAAGAACAAGTTGAGCTTTTGGCGAATTTTGAGAAACGAGTGATACGTGTCAAACAGCTTGCAGTAAACCCAACAATGGTTGGAGAGGTAAGGTTGAAGAAGGGGGAGAGTGCGTTGATGAAAGAAGATCAGGTTCTTCTCATGGTAAATTCCCTTCACCCGTACACCATGGTCTTTGAAGAAGACAATACCAAGGAACCAACTACCTCTAGGAAATCCAGAGCACCTGCTAAAGTTCCAAAGCCTCCAGTTCATACTGGATCTCCAAGGAAGACAATAGTAGATTTCTTTGGTACCTCTGCATCTGAAAGTCAAAAGAGGCGTCCTCGAGGTGAAGAAAATTCCAAACCTGTCAGCAAGAACCCAAAGTATCAAGAAAATGCTTCAGAAGCTACAGAAAAGCAAGAAGATTCAGACGATGAAGAGGAGATTTCTAAGAAACTGAAAGACCTGCAGGAGACTGCTGCCAAGGCCAATACGACAAAAATAAGTATGAGCCAGACATCGTCTGAAGTATAGAGAGGAAATCCATGCAGCAAGGATTCCTGGGAGGAACACGGAAAACTTCTGGTGTTTAGCAAGAAAGATGTTCTGTCCTCTTCCAAGATTGCGTGGTTTGACATTGATGGAACAATAATTACTACCAAATCAGGAAAAGTCTTCTCCACCAGGCCTGATGATTGGAGAATTTTATATCCAGAGGTGCCAAGAAAATTAAAAGAGCTTCTGGTTGAAGGCTAGAAGGTGGTCTTCATTACTAATCAGATGAGAATTAGCCGTGCTAAACTGCGCCCTGAAGTTTTTAAAGCCAAAGCTGAAGCAATTTTAGATAAATTGGGAATTCCTGTACAGATTTTTGTTGCAACAGGTATGGGAATGTACCGTAAACCTGTGACTGGAATGTGGGATTATCTGTGTGAAAAGGGTGATGACGGGTTCCCTGTACAGAAGGAAGACTGTCTTTATGTGGGAGATGCTGCTGGACGTTCTGCAAACTGGGCTCCTGACCGCAAAAAGAAAGATTTCTCCTGCAGCGACCGTCTGTTTGCGTTGAATATTGGATTAAAGTTCTCAACACCAGAAGAGTTTTTCTTGGGCTGGAAGACCGCTCCGTTTCATTTACCTAACTTTGATCCGAGGACTTTGGATCCAAATGCACCACTGCACGATCCTGCTGCTAGTCTGATTTCCCCACCTACAGAAGTGGCAGTCACAGTTGGTTTTCCTGCAGTTGGAAAGTCCAAATTCGTAAAAGATTACCTTGTTCCAAAGGGTTACGTTTGTGTCAACAGGGATACTCTTGGGACTTGGCAAAAATGTGTGGCCAGCTGTGAAGAGGCTTTGAGAAATGGAAAGAGCGTAGTCGTTGATAACACAAATCCTGACCTGGAGTCTCGAAGCAGGTACATCAATTGTGCGAAAAATGCTGGCGTACCGGTGAGGTGTTTTGAGTTAACAACCACTGTAGAGCAGGCAAAGCACAAAAACCGGTTCCGAGGATGAGTCAGAAGGGACATGTATCTGTGAATGATATGGTCATCAACAACTACAAGAGTAAGTTTGTAGCACCCTCTGTGAGTGAAGGCTTCAGTGAAATTGTGAAAATCCATTTTGTGCCCCGTTTCAAGGATGCGTTGGAAGAATCTTTGTATCGCCAATTTTCAGAGGGCTGAGAGTTCAAACCCCCCATGTATGTCAAAAATGTTTGTGTTGCCACTCAGAAATACTGTGCTAAAATGTGAACAGTAATCAAAGGCAAATCTATCCACGCAGCAGTAGGACAAAAACGAACAGAATTATTTTAATAAATAGATTGTCTTTCCAAAAAAAAAAAAGATACCGTATATTACTGTCTTGATTGCCCTGGACAGTCTGGACCCTGCATTGGGGACTGCTTCAAACGATACCACACAATGGTGCATTTTTTTCAGGTTTTTTTGTTTTTTTTGTTATGTTTACCCTATGTATGGGGCATTGGTGTACTCAGGAGGCCTTGCAGAAAACAACATGGATTGTTTTCTTGCAATAACCAACAATAGGCTCTCCTAAATCACAGTCAAAAAGCAATGTGTGTGTAAAAATGAAAACTAAAAGATTACCACCAGACATTTTCTCCAATTTTTTGGGCTAAAACGGTTGCATCAAAGGCATCAAACCACTCCATATACAATACCTTGAGGTGTCTACGTTTCAAATATATACACGTTCATGGCAATAAATAAAACTGGGGTACGTGATGAGCCCCAAACTAAAGATAGGCTTTACAAGTCATATAATTGTAACTGAACTTTCCCAAAATCCTGGCAAACCTATGCATGGGGGGCATGGTTGTACTCAGGAGGCCTTGCAGAAAACAACCTGGAGTGTTTTCTTGCAATAACCAACTACAGGGTCCCCTAAATCACAAATGTGTGTGTAAAAATGAAAATTGACAAATTACTACCAGACATTTTCTCAAATGTTTTGACTACAACGATTGCATCAAAAGCATCAAAACACTCCATATACAATACCGTGTATTGTTCAAAAATATATAGCTTGATGGGGGTAAATTACATTGGCTGGCTTCAAAATGTCCCAAATAGGACATGGGTGCATGATGACCAGCTGTGAAAATTCCAAGTTGGAAAACTGGAATGCACACTCTCCAAATAAGGTCTTTAGCCCCCAGAGAACCTGACATACCTGTACAGTAGGACAGTAGGTCACCCCCCATTTTTATTTATGGCCCCTTCCCACCGCTCAGGGGTGGGGGCCGGGGGAGGACAGTAGTTCCCCCCCTTATTGGTATTTAGGGTCCCCACCCGCCGCTCAGGGGTGGGGGCCGGGGGGGGGGCAATAGGTCAATAGTTTATAAGCCCCCCACTCGCATGTGGGGGCTCAGGAGGGGGGAATTATTATTTTTTTTAACAGTGAGCAGCCACAGGCTGCTCACTGTTTAATAGACATGCCCCTACTAGCTGGGTCACATGCTGCACTGGCCAATCACAGCCATGCCATTAGTAGGCATGGCTGTGATGGCTTCTAAGGGCATATGAGTGAAACGCTTGTTGATTGGCTGCCCTGCAGTCTTTCAAAACGCATCATTAAATCACCGAACTCCAACCCGAACATACAGTGATAGGTCCGTGTTCGGGTCCGGGGGCCAAAAAACGTAATGTTCAGTACGAACCCGAACTTTTCAGTTCGGGTTCGCTCAACTCTAAATGTGACCTGTTAAAATGTTTAAAAAGTTAAAATTTTGTTATAAGTTCTTTACAACCTATAAAGTGTTTTGAAACTTGCTGTGCGTAATAATTTGGAACAGTGCATTGTAAGTTGTTTATGTTTAAATAAAATACTGTTATCATTAAGAGGTTTGTTCAATAAAATCTGAATTGTACTCTTAATAGTTGATAACATGAGAATTATGCTGACTGTTATTTACATTTGCATAATAATTTGGAACAAGGTGTATATTTATATCAAAATACACTTAGAATGAAATTGTATATATATCTATGTATATATAAATAAATAAAAATAATATGAAATATACATATGTCCATTACTTATATAATTATATAAATATACACGTAGACTTCAAATATCTAAATATGCATATATATTTAAATTCTATGTGCAGATTTATGTAACATTTTTACATATTTAAGTAATTTTATTGATTGCAATTTGAGGGACCTGCCTGACAACTCAGACCGAAAGTCCAGAGAATTTAATTTACTAGCACTGTATTTTACCCTGTAACGTTCTATGACACCCTAAAACCTGTACATGGAGATACTGTTTTACTTGGGAGACTTCGCTGAACACAAATATTAGTGATTCAAAACAGTAAAACATATCACAGCGATAATATTGTCAGTGAAAGTGACTTTTTTTGCATTTTTCACACACAAACAGCACTTTTACTGATGATATAATTGTTGTGATACGTTTTACTGTTTTAAAACACTAATATTTGTGTTTAGCAAAGTCTCCCAAGTATAACAGTACCCACCATGTACAGGTTTTATAGCGTTTTTGAAAGTTACAGGGTCAAATATTTTTACATTGAATATTGCCAAGTTGGTTACGTTGCCTTTGAGAGCGTATGGTAGCCCAGGAATGAGAATTACCCCCATGATGGCATACCATTTGCAAAAGAAGACAACCCAAGTTATTGCAAATGGGGTATGTCCAGTCTTTTTTAGTAGCCACTTAGTAATAAACACTGGCCAAAATTAGCGTTCAATTTAGATTTTTACTTTTTTCACACACAAACAAATATGAACGCTAAGTTTGGCCAGTGTTTGTGACTAAGTGGCTACTAAAAAAGACTGGGCATACCCCATATTGAATACCCTGGGTTGTCTACTTTAAAAAAATATGTACATGTGGGGTGTTATTCAGAGACTTATGACAGATAACAGTGTCACAATGTCACTATTGATACATTTAAAAAATATATATTTTGAAACAGCAATTTCCTATTTGTACTTATAGTCCTATAACTTTCCCCCAAAAAAGCACATAAACACTGGGTGTTTTTAAACTCAGGACAAAATTTTGAATCTATTTAGCAGTTTGTTTTATTAGCTTTCATAGGTAAGTAAACGATTTTTCAAGCAAAATTCAAAAAACATGTTTTTTTAAATTTTTAACCATATATATTTTTTTTAAGTAAATTATATGACATGATACAAATAATGGTATGTAAAGAAAGCCCTTTTTGCCCTGAAAAAAAACAATATATAACAGGAATGGGAACAGTAAATGAGAGAGAGGAAAATTACAGCTAAACACAAACATCACAAAAGTGTTAAAAGAGCCCTGGTCCTTAACGTACAACATGGCCAAACAGGCCGGTCCTGAAGGGGTTAAATGAACGCTGTTTTGTTAGGGAATACAAACATATATTCTTAACTCTAGAGCAGGGATAGGCAACCTTTGGCACTCTAGATGTTGTGGACTACATCACCCATCATGCTCTTACAACTATAATGCTGGCAAAGCATCAGGGTAGATGTATTCCACAACATCTGGAGAGCCATAGGTAGCTTACCCCTGGGCTAGGGTGTTATTATAGCTAGATTCAGCCCTGTTATGGTATTGACAAGTAAATATGTCAATCTAAAGGCTAGATTCACGTGTGACCAATGTTTGCTATTTGTTCTGTCTGGATAGCGCAGATACTGTAAGATCAGCATACAATTTTAGTATTAGACGGGACATGTCATCTACAAATACAAGGCTTGTTTAAAGGATAAGAATTAAACAATAATCTATATTTTGTACTAGTGAAATAGCGAACAACTAATATCTATAGCTAAAAACAATATCCCTACATCACATTTGTGACTGATCAGGGAGAGCTGTGGAAGTGACACGTGGCACCCATAATACCTTGCATTTTGAATTGAGAATGGTGCAGTGGGAGTATGCTCACCAGGCCCAACAAATAGATACACACTTTATAGTTATAATTAAACTGTACCAGTTGGAGTTTGTTTCAAAGTGGGGAACTGAGCTGGAAAAAAGTTGAATTTGAGATTTATTTCAGCTCATATATTTTGGTCTTACATTTGTTAAAAGACCACTAAAGTCATCCAGACCACTTCATCTCATTGAATTGCTCTGGGTGCTGTGGTCCTTTAGTTTTAACCCTGCATTCCAAACAGCCAGTAGAGGCCACTATAGGAGCTTCCACTCTACTGACCTAGTAAAACTCATCTGAGGTTGCCTCTCATAGAGAAGCCTCTATGAAAAAGGACTGGTTTGTGCATCACAGAGAGTTCTGATGACATCGCAGGAGGAGTGGTGGACACTGGTGACAAGGTATCTAAAAACCTATTGTTTCAGGTTTACTGAAAACAGGGGAGGTGGGGAACCTAAGTGGTTTCTCTACAACCACATTTAGTTAATTCAACTGCAGTATCATGCCATTTGTGGGTGGCTTCTACTAAGTCATTAACTTCTAACCATCCTCTGTAATTTGCCATAAAATCCCTCCATATATGTGGGTCTATAGTACCATCTGAGGGCATGCCAGCTTTCTAAAGTAACTTTTTAATTTTCTTAAAACTTGTAAGGGTTAATTACTTCCTTACAAGTTTTAAGATGGGTAGCTCTCAGAGCACTCAGGAGGAGTTTACAGCTTTGACTATAGTCAAGCATCACATAGGACAAGGAGCTATTAAGAAAATTTAAAAGTTACTTAAGAAAGCTGGCACTCTAGACCAGGCTTCCCCAAACTCCGGCCCTCCAGATGTTGCTGAACTACAACTCCCATGATTCTTAGCCTATCTATTTCATTCATAGAATCATGGGAGTTGCAGTTCAGCAACATCTGGAGGCGGAAGAGGTACTCCAGGCCATTTCTTGCCCTCCGAACAGGAAAGCTCCAGGCCCAGATGGACTCACCAACACCTACTACAAAAAATTTGCAAACACCCTAGCCCCACACGTAACGAACCTATTCAACACAATTACCCTTAAAGCCAAAGTCCCACAGACATGCTGGGTGCGCACATCGTTATGTTGCCCAAACCAGGGAAACCCCCCACGTGTAGACAAAATTTTAGGCCAATCTCACTTCTGAATACAGACACTAAGCTATATGCTAAGGTACAAGCCACCAGAATGACCAGCATCCTCCCTACATTGATATACAACGACCAGGTGGGCTTCACCACAGGTAGGCAAGGCTCCGACAACACAAGGAAGGTACTCTGCCTAATGCATAGCCTAATTAGGAGCCAGGAGGGGGGTGTGCTTCTTTCTTTAGACGCCGAAAAGGCTTTTGACCGGCTTCACTGGCCTTTCCTGCACACAGTGCTCAGTAAATACA